CTGGTAGTCTTCATTCTGTCCATCATCATAGTTGCTAGCTGATTTGTGACTAATCCATGCATACAATATCACACTATGCACTATTATTGAGTTTCTGATGATATAATCATCTCTGTAAACCATGATGCTCGGAAATTTCAAGTGTACTTGTCGCGTTCTGCTCGCGTAAAGGTTCTTCTCAACCTTCCATCTCCTTCTATACACTGGTACACCAGTCCTGAACTCGGAGGAGGCTACTGCTTCCAAATTGACAATACAAGGCTTAGAACATAAATACTGAACTGACACCTCAGAATTGTTAAGAACTTTCTTTTCTAAAATGTTTAAATGGATAAAGTCCACATAATCCATGTTTTTCTCAAACTGTGGATTAACTGCTGTTGTCTGTAATGTCTCCTTTCCAAAGGACGGCACAAAATTCTGGAAAAAAAAAACCAAAACACAAGCATGTTAGCCAGAGAATCATGTTATCCAGAGTATTTAAGTTTACACGATTACTCATATACTCACAGCAGTAACAGAACATTGCACAAGCAGAAGGTTTATATAGCATACTTTAACTCCAAAATATGAGGTTTCTTTCACGCAGCAAGTAGATATGGATTACTGGAGAGCTACCATCAAGATTTTAAGGAAAACAACTTCCCTACATCAAGTTCTCAAAGTTATACATGCCTCTACAAACAAACTGTATTTACAGGGTGTATCCTTCAGCCCTTACGCAAGTGGAATCCGGTCTAAGATAGCGGCTTACACGTCATGCTATTTACACATGCTCCTAGGATCAGGCCTAAAGAGTGTACTCTAAAGCATACCGGCATATATTCATCACATAATTGTTCACTAGTATTGCCACTGCTTCATGTTTCAGTATCTTCTTAAAGAGTTAGCTCATTTTGTTACCTGTCATCCAGGTACCTGAAGGGCAGAATAACAACCAAGGCAGCTCACAATGGTTTCCTGAGAATGAATTCATATAATGTTTAAGGGCTTATTTTTGAAATGTTCCTATCCTAAAGATGGACTTGGAAATCTGAGCAGCAAGAACAGCGGGCTGCATTTGCTCAGCTTTTGCTCTCCACAGCTATGTACACTCTAATACACTTTGAGAGCGAGTGCTTGGACACACACCAGAATTATCCTCCATGCTGAAGTTCTTGTCTCTAAGACTTCAAACAGCTCCTTTTCTTTCTGCCCTGCAGTCGGCATCCGGCTTGATGCACTGCCAAGGATATCGGGGATTACTCAGCTCAGAGGGCCAGCCACCAGCATGGCACTTCTGCCAGGTCCCTTGGTCTGTCTAAAATCGGAATTGCCACTTAGAATCATCAAGGAAGCTGGTTGTCAAGATTGCTCAACATGAGATCTGTCTTGGATAACTTTTAACTTTGCTAAGCTCAAACAAATCAAATTGAAATCTACATATCTTGGATTGACAGCTTTTTCACTGTGATTTTCAAAGTATTTAAAAGCTTAGGACTAGTAATTAGTACATTTCTAATCACAGAAATTCTGTGCTGTGCACTTGAAAGACAAGACTTTGCCTGTGATCCAATATAGGGATCAGTAAAAGTCCCTAATGATAAACTATTTTGCTTTTTATTTCCTAAGAACTTGTTGACAGTCCTTGAGAGCTACACTTAAAAAACATCAAGTCAGTAAGACCTGGAAAGATGTAAATACTAGGAAAAGTCAGGACTAGGTTTGGCTATACTACTTCTGTGTTCCTATAGATGAGGATTTTGGATTTAACCATGTGATCAAAAGCTGTTTTCCCCCCAGTTCCCTGCCTTATAAAGGCATAAAACAGCTCCAGGATTGTGAGTGGAACACAACTGTGCATAGAGGCGAGTAATTTACTTCAAGACCTTGACTTTTTTTAGGGCAGACATTGGAAGACATAACGGAATGGGGGGACTTTGGGATGAGAAAGCTAGATATAATTGCTGGTAGATGGGTGGTCTAGATCATTAAATTTATTTAGTGATCCAAGATATTTCTGAATTTGTCACTTAAACCATTTTCCATAAGAGCGACCAAATGCTCTTTATCTCCTTGTGTCTGACAAGACACCTGAAGTGAGAAGGGCAGTGATGTTGAACACCGTTAAACATATGTAAGCACTAAGACATGCACTTTGAACAAATAAAATGCTACAAAAATGCAAAACACTCCACAATGTCAGTATTTAGACTTTCTTCAATAGGTACTCTTGTCAGTGACAGCCTTCCTCTGTGCCTCATTTCCCACTCTGCAGAATGAATATTGTAAAAATGACATGTACAGAATGGGTTGAAAAAGGAATAGCAATAGGAGGTGGGTGTCCATTGAAACACATATGGAATATGCACAAATACTGAGATGAAAGTTGACGAGAGAACCTTGATTTTAATACTAATTTGAGTATCCTTCAGAGCTCGGCTTGACAAAGATACCATTCTTTTAAATTGCCTATACAATTTTTCTTTGGTTATAGATATCTTTAAAAGCATTAAAAGCATATAGCAGCAGCAACGAATTATCCTAAACATCTTGTAGTTGATGGTTATAATTCACATTTCTTGATCTTACAGTAAAGAGTATTTGTAAACAGCTTAATCCTTGTGATACGGAGGCTGTGTCATGAGAACGACGGTAATATATTATGAAAGCAATGCCATGTGGTTGTCAGAAAATGTAAAAGTCTACCAGGTAGACACTACAAAGCATTGTGGTACCACTGTGTGCTTACCACACACACACGTTTACTGTCAAAATACACAGAGCCAGGTCAGGTTTATCCAATACAGAGATATGGGAACTGGTCACCAGAAGTGGTGGACAGCTTGGGTCTGGCACAGTTCACTAACAAAGATGCAGCAGTGTACAAATATGTCCATCTGATTTCTAGTGAATGACAGAAATTTTGTGGTGGGGATCCCAAGGCAGGAAGCTCTGCAATCCAAAGCCTGTTCCTTGTAGAACAATTTCTATGATGTTCCTTAGGAGTGCTTAAGCACAATGCACCATGACTGCTGATACATAAGGTTAGCTTCAGCCCTGCTGGTCTTAGTGCTCTTCCCTTAGTGCCTGTTCTGACAAATGACACCCAAAGAGTTACTCAAGAGACTTTACTTTGTATTCTTTGGTCCCTGGGTATTATCTGAGGCATCTGCTGCCAAAAGGCATGGAGCATACTTGGGTCTGCTCTTACACCCCCCTAATAAGAGGCTCACCCAGTAAAGAGCATGGAGCAAAGGACCCTGAGCAACTCGACACCACTGGAGCTGTGGCAGAAACTGCAGACTATGAACTCCTAGACCATGGCTGAGTCTCTGTCACCGCTTGGTCGCCTCTACGCACTGCTCCCTGGTGCAACGCATAGTGTGCTCATTGCTTAAATGTTCCTCCTAGCGTGTCCCTCCCTGCTGTATCAACACAAGGCAGAGTTAATTATACATCACCTCTGACTACATCAAGCAAGGATGTAAAATTACATTAAACATTGAGCATGATCAGGAGACTTAAATATAAAAGTTTCCCAGTACAGTAAAGAGTCCAGCTACGCTGATTCAAAATTTTACCATAAACTAGGCAGAGTTCAACAAGACAGGCATAAACCCTTTGTTGTGTGGGGTAACTTATCCACAAAAGCTGTAAAGGCTTTTTTCTTTACTTAAATCCCGCTGAATCTGAATGAATTAGTCCAAGTCATCCCACCAGATCTTGGGATAAAAGTCACTGTGGGAGGCAATCACAATAGGTGTTAGGAAACTGAACATCTTCAGATAGACAAAAGATAGAGAAACCATTCTTCCACTTTCTGGAGTCAGATCTCAGCAGGACCCTCCACGAGTTTACCCCTACAGAGATTCCACATAACCCTATGAAACTGCACGTTTGCACAAGCCTGAAGATAATCACAGTCCTTCACCTGTGAAAGCCTGACACGTCATGCTACATTTTAAGATGCGTGAAAAGAAGACAAGACAAAAAGGGGTGTTGATCTATTGCTCTCGATCAGCACCAATATGGTACAGGAACACAAAGACTTTAACCAGAGCTTGTGTTTAGCAGAATAAAATACAAAAAAGCAGCTCAATAGATGCCCCTAAAACGCTGCTGTTTCCGTAAGCCATGCAGCCTTCCGTGCAGCACCATGCTCAGCCGTTCACCTGTAAGCAGATGTCAAACACATCCTCCTTCTTTCCACACCAGAAATTTAACGTCACCCAGGACAGAAAGCTTTTTAACACCTGGATGTGACGACCCGGCACTCCCCAGCTGGATAAGGTCCTGGGGGCCAGGCCGGGCAGTGGCGGGGTCGGCTCGGAGGGGCCGCCCGGCTCTCTCTGCGCCCCGCGCCTCCCGGACAGCGGCCCCGGCTCCCCCTGCGCCAACAACCCGCGGCCCCGCACGGCCCGACCCGCCGCGACCCCGCGCTGGGCCGGGCGCGGGGCAGGTGCGGGGCAGGCGGCACTCACCGTGAGGAGAAGGAGCAGCAGCGAAGGGGGGCGGCGGGGCTGGGCTGGGGTCCGCATGCTGCTACTGCTGCTGCCGCCGCGGTGCCCAGCGGGTCCGGGAGTGCGAGGCCAACCCGGCGACAAGGATGCGGCAGATCCGGCTTCCTGGAGGAGGGGCCGCCGCCCGGGCAGGGCAGTGCGGGGCCCCGCGCCGCAGGTGCGGAGGGGCGGGCCGGGCCCAGCCCCAGCGGAGCTGCGCTGCTTCCCGGTGCCCCCGCGCAGCCCCGTCCGGCAGGCGCCGGGCGGTGTCCCGGCAGCGCCGCGGCCGCCCGCCCTCCCGGCGGCTCCGCGGCGGTCCCCGCGCTCCTCCCCGCCCTGGCGCCTCGGCGTTGCGCTGCCAGCGCGGCCGCGGCCCGGGGGAGCTCGGCGGTCCCGCCGGCGGGCGGGGCAGCCTTAGGGCGGGGCGGCGGGGCCGGTGCTCATCGCTCCGGGCGGCCCGGGCCGCGGGGACAGCGGCACCGCCACCTTGCCCGCACTGCGCCCCTCCCGCCGCGCGGGGGCGCTGCCCCGGCCCGGCCCCGCTCCGTCCCGCGTGTCCCGGAAGGGCTGCGCGCCGTGACCGCCGGGCCATGGCGGGGCTGTCCCGCACCCTCGGCATCTTCGGCGCCTTCGCCGCCGTGGTGGCAGCCGCCTTCTACCCCATTTACTTCCGGCCGCTGCTGCTGCCGGAGGAGTACAGTGAGTCCTGCGCGGGGGGAGCGGGCCAGGCCGGGCCGCGGGCTGGGGAGTGCTGGGGCTGCCGCTCGGGGAGTGGGTCCCGAGGGCTTTCTGCTCGCCTAGGATGTACCTAAAAACGAAATAATAACCCTCGCAGTACTCTCGTTTCAAGTTATTGGCCAGCGCGTGATTAAAAACAGCCTTCAGCTGCTGTAGAGGATTGAGGTGCAGCTAAAGAAGCTGAGATCTGAGGGCTGGATCACTTCTTCGAGGAAGGGCTGAGAGAGTTGGGGTTGCTCAGCCTGGAAAAATGAAAGCTACGGGGAGACCTTATAGCAGCATTTCAACACTTGAAGAGGGCTTATAAGAAAGATGAGGGCAGAGTTTTGAGTAGGGCCTGTTGCAGTAGGACAAGGGATGATGGTTTTAAACTAAAAGAGAGTAAATTCAGAGCAGATAAATGGAAGATGTTTCTTATTGTGAAGGTGGTGAAACACTCGAATAGGTTGCCCAAAGAGCTGGTAAATGCCCCATCCCTAGAGACACTGAAGGTCAGGTTGGACAGGGCTCTGAGCAACTTAATCTCGCTGAAGATGCCCCGATCATTGCAGTGGGGTTGGACCAGGTGATCTTTACAGGTCCCTTCCAACTCAAACTATTCAATGATTCTGTAAGCTGTTCGAGTTTTGTTCTCCAGCTGCAATTGAAAATCTAAATGAACAGGTTTTTTACTGGTTGTGATGATTTGCTAGAGCTGATCTCAGTCTACAGAGCCTCTAAAACTGATTCCCGAGGAAAACCCCGCTCTCCTGCCAGAAACTTGACAAAAACCGCAGCTGACTTTATCCAGGGAACAGTAGGAGGAGCACCTGTTATTCCTCAATTCATGTGAAATACCACCCAAGGAAACAGGAAAGTTCTGGTGGAACCAGCCTTGCCTCCTTGCTTTAAGTTTTATGAAACTAAGCAAAATGTTGGTGATAACTTGTAGATGCATGTGGTTAATCTGCCAAGACAACAGAGGAAGAAGAAAAAAAAAAAAAAAAGGAAAAGGCTAACAAATTTATTGATTTTATGGGAGCGGCTTTGGGTTTGCACCAAAACTGAAATAAAATTTTACTTGCAAAGAAGTTTTTATTGAAGGAAGCTATGCCTTTAAAAAAACCTTATTATTAGTTCATGTTTGCTTAAGCTGTACTTTCCAAAAATATTATACGTATGTCTCAGCATTAAGGAAAGAATAGAACTAATAGACCACTTCCTCCTTTGCCTTTGTGAATTACATGAACAGATGTTCCTTAGTAGGTTAGGGATTTTTAAATCTCTATTTAGGAAATAAAATGAGTGATGCACAGTTAGTGAGTGTGTAAACTTGCAATTTGATACCTGATTCTGAACTTTATTTCTTGCATGCTGCTCAAACTCTCCTCTGATCTCACCTTTATTCCTTTCCTATGTGTTTCTCTTGATGGTCATTGCTGCAGTATGAGAGAGGCACATGCATTCATTATCATAATGCTTTAGGCAAGAACGTGAAATTTCACTATTGTGGTACTTGAGTGGAAGTATTTAATCTTTGGGGTACAAAGGATTTTTCAGAGACAGTCTGATAAGCTGTATGACGACTTCTATAGAAGCTCCCACCCTCTATTGGCTTGATCTGTGGGTGAATACTCAATATTTCTGTGTTTTGGCATGCTGGGTCCCAAAAGTTGGACGTTTTCATTAGCATGAAAACATGGTAATCCTGCAAAAGGCAAGAATGGATTTTAGTTTTCTGGAGTGACATTCAACTATGTAAACAAGAAATGCTGTCTTTTTTTTCTTCAATCTTGTTTTTCTTGTGTGTCTCCCGAATTCTGCACAAAGGAGGTACATTGATATTCAGGAAGAAGACTTTTCTGCACAGCTCTCACACATCTTCTGAGGAGTTCCTAGCCGTTTAACAAATCAAACGGAAAGTACTTGGAAAAACTGAATGTAATCAAATCGTTAATATGAACCTTAAATTGTGCACAGAGGAGTTTGACCTAATTTCATACAGAAATGTTATAATTTTGTAGGTTTTTAGCACCTCATTTTGTGGCCTTGAAGTTTCTAATATTTTCCTGTCTGTAGCTAGCTTTAAGAATGACTGTTTCCTCATATGAAACACGTAGTTTAGTGGCAGTGATGAAACTTCGAGGCCTTGAGCACAGACCTTTTCCTCGTGAATTAATTGAGACATTTGACAGCTGCTGTCATTCATTTGGGGCATTTTCACAGGTTTTGTGATTATCTAAATTGTGAGACTTGTCCCTTTCCCTACCCTGTGAGGTGCCTGTCCCTCTCATCAAGACTGGGTCTTCCTCATCATCCTTTTTCTGGCTTACCTGTTTTCCAAGTTGTTTACAGGCCCCACACCAGTCTCCCTGTTGACTGTTTAACGTCTTATGTGTGTATTTCTCCCCTGTTACTTCTCTGCGCTGATTTCCTTGCCTGACCAGTTGACAAATCTTTCTGTTCAACCCAAGTGTGTTCCTGGACCTCTCAGACTGATTCCTGTTTTGGTTCCTGCCTCTCTTCTAATCTTAGCTTCCACTTAAAATTAAATATCTTTCTCCTCCATGTCCTACAGTAAGTCTCAATCCTTGTCCATATCTATTCTGTTCTTCCTGTCTGGGTTTTGTACCTTTTCCTTAGAAATGAGTTTCTTGAGATTTTGTCTGCTAAAACTGAATGGAATTACCACGCTCAGTGAACAGAGTTGGAGAAGCTGGATATGCCTCTAGTGCCTGTCCCCTTGAAAGGAGAATTAGCTACGCTGATATTCCTGCTAGTCTCTAGTAATATTAGCCTTGTACCTAGACAGCCTGATAACATGTAGTGGCAGTGCATTCCCAGTGGGATAGGATGTTGGAAAATTTTGGTTTTAAGGTGAGCTTAGTTCTGAGCTTCCTCTGAGAATGTGCACCCTACAGTTTTTTAAGGGCTTCAGAAGTTCAGTGGTGTGGGCAAAAGGCTAATCCAGCTGAGCTTTGATTTACTGCTTCAGATTACCACAGTGGTGAAGAGCTTAACTGGAAGTGAAAGAAAAGGAGGGACATTTAAGAAGAGAAAATAGTATAGTTTTCTCAATTTCTCTTCTTGGAAATGGTTTAATCTTTTGAAGAAAAAAGAAAAGCCTGAGACAGGCCCCATCTATGGAAAAATATCCCTCTGATACTGAAATTTACAATGTTTACAAGCAGTAATTTCAGAGGTGCTATCATGAAATCTACTTGCAAGATATTTCAGGACCTGGAAGATGTCATTCTGGAAAGAAAAAAGTATTTTTAATAGTTTCATGTTAAGCAAATGAATGATAGCTTCTAAAAGTACTAGTTATTCCTGAAGTGTTGGGATCATGGCAGGTATTTTGGCATTTTTTATTTAACAGTAGTCATTGTTTTAAGATGTTTATCTTCTTGTTTGTAGTCTTTCAAAATAGACTAGCTGTTAGTTTCTTAGTAAAGTAAGAAAGAATACTACATTTGCATTGTGTAGGTGGATACTTGGCAGAATTTTACTGTGTAGCATCCGGAATTAATAAAATTTTCAAGATCATTTGATTGGGTGCAATCAAGGTATCTGGTATTTTCTTTTTTTTTAACAGTGTCCTTTCTGTTCTGTTTTCCAGAGAAAGAACAATCAATAAACCGAGCTGGTATTGTTCAAGAGGATATTCAGCCTGCAGGTATACTTGATTCATGTGTTTACATTGATTGTTTGAAAGACCTTCTTGAAGTGAGGCCTGAATATTTATGTGGATTTAAGCAATACAGTGAAGACTACCTTCAAAGAAAATCTATATAATAAACTTGCCATGAAATCATTTTTTCAGGCTAATTCTTCACTGGAAAATTATGGTTTTAATGAAACTTGTTTTAAATTGTCATAACTGGCCAAATAAGTTGCAAAATTTCTGTTATCTTCACACTTTGTTAAATAGATGCCAGTTTCCATTTCTGATCCAGCTCAGAGCAAACCAGAACCATGGGTGGGCTGAGCTGCAGCTCAGAACATTATTGCACCCTAGTTTTGTGGAATACTGCTTTACAGCTCAGCTGAAACAGTTTATGAGCACTTTGGCAGTGCCTTCCAGCCTCATGGGTGCATGGGCCGTGCAGAAATCCACTACACATAATGGAAAATTTGGAATGCTGTGCTAATAGCTTTTTGATCTCTACTGTTGCTGATGGAAGGTGTAGAAAAGCATATGAGGGAGATAAAATTCAAGTAGGCAGACTATCCTTGATAGTTCATTGTTTCATAATGGTAAATGGAAGGGCTGTTCATTATGCAAGGTTGGCACTTCTCGATTAAAGACATGAGAGTGCTTGTCGTGATGAAACAGAGGATATTAAAGGATAATTCATTCCTATTTTTGAAAAAGCCTAACACCAGCAGCAGGACAAAATCAAATAGGATTAAAACCATGTCCTTATTACTCATATCAGTTAAATCATGAGTGCAGGACTTACTTTCCAGGGAAGTGGTGAAATGCTGAAGAGTAGTAGGAAGCACAAGTCTGGTAAACCTGTCTATTTTACCAACCATTCCAGTGGACTGGACTGGCTCATTTATCCAAGATATAGTCACTTGATGAGGAGTTCTCCTCAGTGTGACTGTTTCATCTAAATTTAGCTGCTGACGAGAAGTTACGAGATCCATTAGTGGAAAATTGAATCTAGAAAAATTTAAGTGCAAGGTGCAATTCTAGATGATTGATCCAACAATATTAGAACACTTTATCTATGAGTGTGATAGATTTTTCCATTATCTGAAGCTTAAGATCAAGATGAGGTTGTCTTTTATGTATTTTTGCAAGCTTAAGCAGAGTTGCAAGTTAAGTGCAGAAATTGTTGGATTCTTTTATTGTTTAATACACAAGAGTGGATTTTATTTTTTTTTCTCCAATAGTCTAATTATGAACTGCTGATTGATTTGTAGGGTTAAAAGTGTGGTCTGATCCATTTGGAAGAAAGTAATGTTGGCGGCTGTGCGTGTTACAAAACTGAAGATGGACATCTTCAGCTGTTTCTTCTGCCGCTGAAGTGTGTCTTTGGGTGTCGCTGGAGAAGAATTCTGAGTATGCTCTGAGGGCACGTGAGGAGCAACAAAGGCTACTCGTTGGAATCCCAAGAGATAAAAACATCCTAGTTTTGACAGAGGATGCTGCTGCGTAGCTCACAGACTGTTAGAGAGCTGAATGGTTATTGAGTGTAGAAATGAAATACTTATTTCCTCGAGAAAAGGGAAAAGGATTATTTTAAAATCTGTAGACACTTATAGAATAAATTATGAATAGAGTAAATCATGCTGCAGTTTCCTCCCTAGTTTGAGATTTACTTTCTGTGGTTTTATTTTGAAAGTGTGGTAGAAGGGTATAATGGGAGAGATCAGTGCAGAAAATGCAACATGGTACATGTAAATTTGTACATTAAAATTTTTAAACCAATGAGTGCTTTTTTTTTCATTTGTTTTGCAAGTGGATGTGGGAGGTACCTTGGCCACCTGGCAGGTGTCTCTCTGGCCATTCTTCTTACCCCTACTCCTCAAAACGGCAGGGGGAGTAAACAGGATGACAAAAGGCATGAGTCCAGATAAACACAAGGACATTGTTTACCAGTTACTTTTGCAGGCAAAGCAGTCTCAACTTGGTGAAAATTATTGTAGTTTATTGCCAATTAAAATAGATTTGGATAGTGAAGAGCAAAAATTAAACCAACATCTTCCCACTTCCTCCCTTTTTTCAGGCTCAACTTCACTTCTGATTCCATTTTCCTCTCCTGAGTCTCTGGAGTGGTGGATGGGGGAGTTGCAGTCAGTTCTTAACAGTTCTTCTGTTCCTTACTCCTCCCCTTTTTTTCCAGTGCCTGTGCTGACTTTTCACGAGCTGAAATTCCTCCAGGAAATGCCCAGCTGCTGTGGTGTGGATATCTCCTCCAACATGGTCTTCCCTATGGGCTGCAAGGGTCTAATTTCTCCGGTGCCTAGAGCACCTCCTCCCCTGCATTCTTTTTTGATTCTGGTGTTCACCTGCTGTTCCTCACTTATTTCCCTTCATTCCGCTGCTTGTCAGATGTTTTGTCAGATGCTGTGGCCAGCAGGGGGCAACTTCTATAGCCCACCTTCTGTGCTGCTGAAATCTGGACCGATACACCTGATACAGGAGATCAACCAAGTGCTGGGGTTGAAAAGCAGATGCTTGAAAGAATATTTTTCAAAAAGCACTTTTTCATGGTGAGTATAATGATCATTAGAAGAAGTGAGTAAAGGATTGCCTCTGTTGAAAATCTTCACCCAAATTGGGTGTCTGTCTAATAATAGGTTCTGAATAAACTATGTGTTTTGAGATTTCAGAAAAAAATAGTCTTTGACCTATATAACCTATATATGGGCACTGGAACAGGCTCCCCAGGGAAGTGGGCACAACACCAAACCTGACAGAGTTCAGGAAGTGTTTGGACAATACTCTCGGGTACATGGTGTGACTCTTGGGGTGTCCTGTGCTGGACTAGGAGTTGGACTCGGTGATCCTTGTGTGTCCCTCCCAACTCAGGATATTCTATGATTCTATGGTTACAGAATAACATAGCATATTGTTCTTGAGTACAGGTCAGGTAGCATGTATGTTTAGCCATTTTTAGCCATTTTTTTCTGAATTAATTTTAGCACTGCATAAATGATACACAGCATTTTAAAGACCATTGCAGGATCCTAAATGTTTTGAAGAATGTATGCACAGTGAGTGTTATTTCTAAAGTTAGAAGATGTTAGTTTGTAATTTTGTTTTGGACACCACGCTTTTATTGGGACAACAGACGAGCGACTCAATGTTTACAGGGTCCATTTCCAAATTGCCATTCTGTTACTTGCTATTCCATTTCTACATGTCGTTGTCATTACTCTCCCACTCAGACAAACCTTTCTTCCTCTGAGTTTATGTTTTTATTTAGTCTTCTATTATCACTAAGTGTTAGGATATTTTGAGTTTGCTTGCTGGGACAATGTGGCCATATTTGATTCCTTTGACTTCCTGGGTGATTTTTCCTGATGATTGGAGCCAGAGTGAGTGCACACATTCACTGAAGGGACCATAGATTGGTTTGGGTTGGAAGGCATCTGAAAGATCACCTAGTTCCAACCCCCTGTTATGAGCTGGGACACCTTCTACTAGACCAGGTTGCTCGAGGCACCATCCAACTTGGCCTTTAACACTCAGACAGTTGCAGCACAGTTGTTTAATCCAAAATATCTCCTAATTAAAATAAAGCATTGCTTAAATGCACCTACTCCATCTGTCACATGAGCTGCAAAACAAAGAGTTTTAGGAGACAGTGGGAATTGTTCAATAATGTTGCATGTCTCTTGGTAACACAAATACTTAAAAACATCATGGTAGTGTGGAACAATTAACTAAATCACTTGGGGTTAATGTTGTAACAAAGAATATGAAATTAGTTATTTTGGAGTTACAAGATAAGACAGTCTCTGCTGCTTGTTTACTTTGTGAGTCTGGATCTTGCCTAGAAAAATGATAGATGGTTTCAGAACAGTGACTCTTGGTGGCAGGTGCAGGGCCTTTTGTCTTCATATTACTTAAATGTTGTAAAACATTTGAGTACCTGGACTCCTTTATCTAGGTTTATAGAACTGTACATGTCTGTTGGTCATGATCTCTAGTTCATTCTGGTCCAGAAAAGCTTGATAAGTTTTGTAATTGCCAGTAATTGCCTGTAACAGCCGTTCATATCTGTTGAGTACTACTGAAGTGAATCTAAACTCTGAAAATGGTGTACATTGCTTTTAATGATCATCACTTCCTACTCGCTGTGATCCACCTAATAAAGCAGGCTGATTGGCCATGGCTTTAAAGTGTTAGGGTAGTGAATATCCTTTTCAAAGCTTTGATGTTTTATCTGGATAAAGCTGTTAAGTCAACAAGGAATGTACCGCAATAATTATCCAGAATTTACACTGACATTTTCTGAGTGTTCTGGCATTTGCCAGACTTTAGACCCAATTCTCATGTGGTAAATCCTAGTCCTGCAGCTGGCTTTGAGACAATGCTTTGTTCTGCTCGTGGATGCTGGGCATAAGCCTCTCCTTGTCCTAGCTACCCAGTGCCAGGTGAAGTTCAGAACAACAAATTGTGCTCTCTTACTCTGGAATAAAGAGTTTTTTGCCACTTTTGTAGCCTTCAACAACTATTATTTTTCAACACAATCACGCAAAGATGTATTTATAATTATACATAATTTATGTAATTGTTAGTAATTGGGAGGGCCTGGGCCTGCCTTTTGCAGAGGAACTAGGTTTGGTAATTTTCATCAACCTGTTCTGATTGTTCTGACAGAAAGGTTGGGACAAAACATTTGATAAAAATGCCTTCTTAGAATATTTTTAAAGCAGTTATACCTATTCTGTAATATAAATGCATTTTGCTTATTTATTCTACCTGGATCATGAACAACAAATATAAGCTCAGCCTTTGCAAGACTGAAGAAAAGTTTTAAACAGTGCTTTGACATCTGAACAGAAACTAGTTTTACTAAATTTAGGCCTGTGTTTGTCTGCTGATGTTTTGAAATTATTAAAACTTGTTCCATAAAGAGAAAATCTGCCATTTTGGTCTCAACATAGCTTAGTTGTGAAGCCCTATAGACTGTTAATGATGCAATGAAACCCTCAAGTACAAACACTGCCTAAGGAGTAAATACAGCAACAGATACTGACAAATTGTCAGATTATACATGAGCAAGAAGGAATAACCTCAATAATAAATAATATTCAGCAAGAGAAATCTCATGGGATTCTGAAAAATCGAATGGGGTTTTTCTTGATGAATACTCTACATATTTATTGAGATTATTCCAAATGATGAGAGGAGACTTTTTAATCAGTAATACTGAAAGCACATCAAATAGCCTCCAGTTATCATCAATTTTACTCTATGTATACCGTTCTACAAAAAATAGTCCAGAAAAAGAAGCCGTTCTTGTGATTTGCTGTTTGATAAACCGAAATAAAGCATGTGTTCTCCCTTCTTTTAGTCTGGCAATAATTAACTATCCTTTTCTCAGTACTGTGTACCCTCCTACTGACCTTCATGTTAACATGCAGACACAGCAGTAAATGAAAAGCTGTATTGGCTTTTTGAACATAAAAAGTATGTTTGCTAGTGGAAGGAAATTATTTTCCAGCTTCTGAGAAAGTCCTGCAGAATATACACTGTTTCTATGTGCACAATGTATAACAGGAGAGAGCAAAAAACAAAGTTCAGGTCAAAGCATAGTACCCTATGATCTGAGGTCTCTTTGTGCATAGTGCAGACTGTGGGCCTTGCAAGAAAAATGGTGCAGTGTTTAAGACACTGTCTTGGAAAAAAGGACTGTTGTAGTCAGTCCTATACTCCACCACGCTGTTGTATGGCAGCAGGTAAGTAATTTAGCCTTTGAGCTTCAGTACCATCTGTAAAATAGCCATAGTACTCCCCTTCTTTGCAATTGAAGGTAAATACAGGAGTGTGAGCTTTTCTGATCCTCTAGAAAACATTTTTGGTTTTTTGTCTGGGAAGTTTTATTTATGGTTAGGAACAATTGGTCTGGATTTGTGTGAGAATCATGTGTTTTAGTTCCAAGAACTTAAAAGGTTTTGAAGAATCTTTTCCAAAAGAAAACAAGTGAAATTTCCCAGCAGTTTATTATGTTCTGAGTATGGAAGTTTTTTATTCTGCGAGTCAAACAGAAAACTCATCTGCTTTTCACAATACTAATATTTTTTAAGAAGATCTCCAAATTTGAGTATAAACTTCTAGTTGAAATTCAACCCAACATGAATGTTACTACAGCTGTACAAAAAAGCAGAGAATTGATCAGCTTTTGTTGCTGGACCAGGTGACTCAGCAATTTCCATTATTTAGACTCACTATTTCCCATTTCTTCTGTAACAATGGGTCCTCCCTTATGACCTTGGCATACCAAAAGAAAAATAACTGAAGGCCTTTTTTGAGAGCTACAGGTACTGAGCAGGCTGGGGGGTGAGGAAGAACTGGAGATACTGCAGGGAAGAATGTTCTTCCTGTAGCACTGGAGAAACACTTGGAGGTAGAGTGCTGGATATGAAGAGGAGACAGGGCATTTTGGTCAGTTAAATGGGAGCATGAGGGACATAGGACATAATTCCATTGGATTATAGCCTTCAGAGGCTCTGCTGCTCACACAGCAGATTAAGATGCCTCTTTCCCTCTTTTCAGTTTTCTCCCCAGCAGTTTGGAGGTTACCCTTTCTAAAGAAAGTTCCTAGGCAAGACAAAGGTTATCATGAGCAGAGAGCATCTAAGGAGGAATTATGTACCTGTCCTTTTCTCTAGCCTACCTCGAGAGGCCAGATATCATAGAATGACTTGTATTGGAAGGGACCTCATGCTGAAAAGTAACTGTCAGGCTCCAGGTCA